CGCCATTCTTCTGCCTCAGCCTCCCAAGTAGCTGGGACTACAGGCGCCTGCCACCACGCCTGGCTATTTTTTTGTATTTTTAGTAGAGACGGGGTTTCACCATGTTGGCCAGGACAGTCTCGATCTCTTGACCTTGTGATCCACTCGCCTCGGCCTCACAACCATTTCAGATTTCAAGTTGAGCTTGGCTGACTCAAATCAATTGCCAAATCTGTGCCTGTTACTTTTCTTCTCTCTCACTCCTACAGGCTGCTTCTAAACATCCCATGAAATATTAGATCCCCCACTATACACATCCCCCAAGGCTTGCCAAAGAGGGTTCCTTTTAGCTTATCTTAGAATAATATCACCCTGGATACCTCTGTGACCTCTGGTCACTTGCTGCCCTGATTTCCAACCTTATGGCTGCACAATGCCCTGTCCACCTGGTCAGTCATGAGGTCAGCACACCTGGGGACAGATCTGGCCAGGACAAAGCTGGTCACTTAACACACATTTTCTGAGCTTCTAAGGAGTGGATTAAAACACATTCGGTGTAGAAATAGATCAGGAGAGCAGCCAAACACACACAGCCTTGGTAAGTGCACAAAAAAGCTACAGCCCCAGGGGCATGGGGAAGGTGAAGGAGCTCCCTGGGGCATCTGAAAGATGGGGAATGGTGGTTTTAATTGGGGAATGCAGCTAAGGGGTAAAGAGGCAGCACCCTACGTGAAATAGGCTAGGATGCGGACATCAGTGTCAGACCTGGGGTTCCAGTCCTGGTTCTGCCACTTAGGCACCTAGTGGCCTTGGGCAAGCGGCATAGCCCCTCAGGCTCAGTTCTGTTCCCTTGTAAGCAAGGACAGTGCGGTCTACTACCAGCTGGTGATGACGATCAAAATAAAGTCATTTCCATAAAGTTCTCAGCACAGTCTTTCTCATTTTACACACAAGGAAGATAAGGCTGTGAAGATGTATGCAACTGGTTTGTTTGGGGCTAGAGTGCCGGTCTGTCAGTCCTTCAAATTTAGTGTTTTCCCCCAGTATACGTTGCATTGAATGGTAATGGCTAACACTGAGTTCGGTGCTTAGCAAACAGGCCATTCGTTAAACATAGACAGACTCGTTGCCTGTTATTTCTCTTTTGGGGGCCAGAGAAATTGTGACCTTGGTGGCTCAGTCACTTGCCCCTTGCCACGTCCTCAGGGAAGGATGTAGACGGCATTGAGGGAAACCGACTATACCTCCTTCACCCCCACCTCCCTCCCTTCATCGGCTAAGTTGCTATGGGCACAAGCCCAGGAAGGGCAGGGGGCTGTTACAAACTTCAAACACGAAGAGTCTGAGCATGTATAAACAGCAAAGGAAGAAACGAAATTCGCTGCGTCCTCTAAGCCTGTCCCCACAGCATGTTGGAGGAGGGTCGCGGGGGACGTGGAAGAGGAGGAGCTTTCGAGAGAAGATGCTTGTGCTTCCCCGGCTTTTCTTGGTATTTCTATTCGGGGGTTGGAGCTTCATCACATTTGGTTCCTGGCTGACTTTATACACTAAAATATAACTCCCTTTTGCCTGACCATGGAGAGGGACTGCCAGGGGTGAGGGCAGCCCTGTCTGAGGCCAGAGGTCTGCCCACGTGGCGGATGAGGCAGGTGTGAGGCCAGCTTGAGCATATGGACCCATTTGTCTCGGGCTGCTGGCTGCCTGCCATTTCCTCCTCTCCACCCTTATTTGGAGGCCCTGACAGCTGAGCCACAAACAAACCAGGGGAGCTGGGCAGCAGCCAAGCGTCACCCTCTGTCTCCCCGCATGGGTACCAGCATCGAGGAGAAAGAATCCTGAGGCACGGTGGTGAGATAACCAAGAACTCTTTTTTACTCTTCTCACACCTTTGAAGTGGAAGCCTCTTGAGTCAAATCAGCAAGAATGCGGCTCTTGCAGCCGAGGGTCTGGGGGGCTGTTGGGGCTGCCCAAGGCAGAGGGGCTGTGACAAGCCCTGCGGGATGATAACTTTAAAAGGGCATCTCCTGCTGGCTTCTCACTTGGCTGCTTTATCGCTGCAAGTGACAGAATGGGGAGGGTTCTGTCTCTCCTGCGTGCTTGGAGAGCTGGGGGGCTATAAAAAGAGGAGGCACTGGGCAGCTGGGAGACAGGGACGGACGTAGGCCAAGAGAGGGGAACCAGAGAGGAACCAGAGGGGAGAGACAGAGCAGCAAGCAGTGGATTGCTCCTTGACGACGCCAGCATGAGCTCCTTCTCCACCATCAGCGTGAGCTTCCTCCTTTTTCTGGCATTCCAGCTCCCAGGTCAGACCAGAGCTAATCCCATGTACAATGCCGTGTCCAACGCAGACCTGATGGATTTCAAGGTAGGGCCAGGAAAGCGGGTGCAGTCTGGGGCCAGGGGGCTTTCTGATGCTGTGCTCACGCCTCTTGATTTTCTCCAAGTCAATGAGGTTTATCCCTTTCCCTGTATTTTCCTTTTGTAAAGAATTTGCTGGACCATTTGGAAGAAAAGATGCCTTTAGAAGATGAGGTCGTGCCCCCACAAGTGCTCAGAGAGCAGAATGAAGAAGCGGGGGCTGCTCTCAGCCCCCTCCCTGAGGTGCCTCCCTGGACCGGGGATGTCAGCCCAGCCCAGAGAGATGGGGGTGCCCTCGGGCAGGGCCCCTGGGACTCCTCCGATCGATCTGCCCTCTTAAAAAGCAAGCTGAGGGCGCTGCTCACTGCCCCTCGGAGCCTGCGGAGATCCAGCTGCTTCGGGGGCAGGATGGACAGGATTGGAGCCCAGAGCGGACTGGGCTGTAACAGCTTCCGGGTAAGAGGAACTGGGGATGGAAATGGGATGGGATGGACACTACTGGGAGACACCCTCAGCAGGAAAGAGACCAATGCAGAAACTCATTCTCTCTCAAGTTTCTGCCCCAACACTGTGAGTGCCCCATGGGTGTCAGGACACGCCATCTATTGTC